GAGAGAGAGAGAGAGAGAGAGAGAGAGAGTGGGAGAGAGCAAAGGAATACCTTTCGATGACTCAAAATCCATACAAAATTAATTAAGATGATATAAAGAATAGAGTTCAATCAACTTACCTTGATATGGTGATAAACTCTTTTTGTCTAATGTGCGACGAACTCTCCTACAAACCAATTGAGTACTAAGAGAGAGAGAGAGAGAGCGAAGGAATACCCTTCGAAGGCTCAAGATCCATACAAAATTAATTAAGATAATATAAAGGACAGAGTTCAATCAACTTACCTTGATCCGGTGATAAACTCTTTTTATCTAATGTGCAATGAACTCTTCTACAAACTGATTGAGCATAGAGAGAGAGAGAGAGAGAGACCAAGAGAGCGAAGCTAAGAAAAAATGAGCTTCAGTGTTTTCGCGCGCAGGGGTTTTGTAACAGAATTGAGATTCTGTCACGTAAGTTGCATAATGAAAAGGGCAAAATTTCATTTTAACCCCTAAAAGATATAAAAGTTTCAATTTATCCTCTTAATAATTAATTTGTTTATATTACCCCCTCAAAAAATAAATACATTGCAATATGAGTCATCGTCCTATTTTCGTTTGGTAGTCTGTCTATTTTTGTAATTTTTGATTGATTAATTAATTTGATACAAAACAGATGAACAACTAAATAAAAAAAAGACAGTGGACCACATTACAACATTTTTATTTCTTTGAGGTAATAATATGAAAAAAATAATCAGTTGAGAGATAAATTGAGAATTTTTGTATTTTTTAGGGGACAAAATAAAAAATTTTCATATGGAAATAGCATAAAATTTTGGATGAATGTCACTTTGGAACCCTTAAAGATCTTCATATTTTAAATTTGCCCCATAGAAAGTCAAAATTTTAGATTGAAGCCTACAAAATGACTAACAATGTAGTCCAAAATAATGAATTTGTTGTTTTGTCCGACAATGTTTTGTTTTATAGTCTTTATATTTTTTAAATTTTATACTCAATAATTTATATATTACTCAATTTTAAATATTTTATGTGATAATTAATAAATTTATACTCAATTTTATTAAAATAGACCACATTGCCATATTTTTATGTGATTAAATGATGCAATTTTATATTTTTCATTTTTTAATATATAAATTAAAATTTTTAAATTTTTAAAGTGTCAAGTATATTGGCCCAAAGTGTTGAATATAGAATTAAATTTCACCATAGGTTAAAAAATGAATGAATTTGTTTACGACGTCGTTTACTTACAGCCCTTGTCGTCCTCCTCGTCATCTTCTTTGTTTTTTCGGCTCTTATCAAATTCACATGTTACAGAAAATAGTGTTGGCGGTCTCGTGTTTTTACCATTGTTGCTCTCGTTCCTAATGGGCTGATTTTCTTTTCAAAACCCTAATTGTATCAATCCAGAAAAATCCTATGCTGGAGACCACTCTCCGTCCTTCTCTCTTCCCAGGTCCATTACATTTTCCTTCCAAATTTAAAGGTAACTCGCGTTACTTTTTAACTTGAACTATCCGACTTTCATTCAATCAATTCAAAGTCCATTGGATTTAGTTTCTTTTTCTCTTATTTCCTTCCTTTTTTTATCTTTGTATATGGTTATGATTAGTATATTTATGTGTGTGTATATGTATGAAACTTCTGATTAATTATTGCGTTGAGGTTTTTATTCTAGCGAGCTTTGCTGGTTTCTTCTATAGTAGTCTTTGAAGCTGAAAATTTGATGTAATTCTCTTAGTTGACTCTTGGGGATCGCTACATATTAGATATTGGAGTGTTTTAAGTTGGGTATTGTGAATGGGTTTGGCTTGAACAAGTATAGGGCACTGTTGAATTGGAGGAAAGCTAGATACGGAGAGGTATTAAAATTGGGTTAGTGGAAATTAGTGTATAAGGAGGCACAGTTGAATGATAGGTTGGACTCTTAACAAGATAAAAATGGGCTGCAGTTATTCTTTGAGGAATTTTCCTTAATACTTGGATTTCTAAAAATCTAAATGGATGAGTTTGAAAAGCATGGAAGTTGAAATGATTCTCGTCCGGGGTGTCAATGCTTTGCTTCTAAACAAGCACGGATTCTATACCATTTTGTTGATTGATTGGTCATTCTATTGGATGGTCCTCTTTTACCCAAGCATATTTCTTAATTTTTCTCACCAAATTGCTTAAATTGATGATGTCTCCTTTGAAATGCCAGGTTCTTACTTGCAACTTCATGCAGTGAGGCTGCAATGTTCCTCTCTTATGACTGTTGTTGGTGATACAATGGCAGTACCAAATGATTCGACTAATGACCTATGTGTTTTACCAAACGATCTGATCCCACGGCTAGTCTAATTCTTCTTCAAAAGAAGGGGAACAGAACGAAGCAGCTGAAACCTTGGATGACAATAAAATGGTTCTTGTCAAGCTAACTGAGGTTTTCATGGTTGACAAGAAGCCGGCTCCAACTGACTGGCGAAGATTATTTGTTTTCAGCAAGGAATGGGACAACATCCGGCTTCACTTCTATAAGCAGTGTCAGGACCGAGCAGATAGCGAGAATGATTCTGGATGAAGCACAAGCTGCTTCGGCTTGGAAGGAAGGTGAAAAAGGTACCTTTTTGCTTGTTAACTTAAAAGTTGGTTGAATGTGGACGGCCAGAACGTTGAAAGAGTTCCATTGTGGGAGAGAGGGAGTTTGATGTTGTATTTTGACCAATTCCAGAATATTATTGTTTTACGAAGGTACCTTTTTTCTGCTCTTCGTTGACTTTTTTTCTAGAAGCAGAGGCGGCCAACACAAATTAATATCTAAAACGAAAAACATATTTTATATAGATTTATAGTATGATTTATTTTCAAAGTTTTAGTGATTTTGAGATCGAAAAGGATCAAATAATAAATTGGGTGTAATTGTGAAATCAAAATTTTATAGATGAATAAATTGAATAAAATATTAAAAAAACAACAAGATAACTAAAGATATGGACAATAAACCAAAGCAAGACAATGAGACTAAGAGGGAGAGAGAGAGGTGGAGAGAGTGGAGGAAAAATTAATGAAAAAAATTTGAAAGAAACTACTTTTAAAGGTAGAAGTTTGTTATATTTTAAGACTTTTTATAAAGATTTATATAGACTTGTAAAAATAGTTACATTTTAGGTTTTCTATAAGGCTTTAGATGGATTTATGAAATATATTTGGCCATTAATTTAGTCATTTTAAAAGGACTTCGGAACATGAAGTTAAACAAATGACTAAAAATTAAATTGTATTTCTAAATTTTTGAGGCTCTATGCAATTATTTTAATAGTTGGACCCTAGGGGCGACCCTGTTGTACCATTGAAGTATATGTGCATCTCGCAATGATTATAGTATTTGCTGGTCCCTTACTCTTAAGTCTTCGTTCATAAAACCGATTAAGTAAGACAAATTGATTACTAGATGACTCACAACGATTACAAGTAATATGTATTATTTTATATTTTATGTATTTTTTCATTAATTTTTATAAGGTACTATTATAATAAAAATGTTCAATATTACAATGTGGTGTCACATAATTTTTTTTTAGTAATTTAGTCATCTAATATATATTAAATATTATTATTTTTTTTTATATTAATTAGTTTTTATTGTGAATCCTTTATGAGAACTAACAATTTAATTTGCTGGTATTTTTGTGTTTAAATGAAAACAAAATCGAGTTTAATAATTAGTGTTTTTTTGGAAGAGAGATACTTATTATATTTTTTTATCGAAGTGTTAACTTTTTTTTATTTTTTAATAAATGTGTATGTGGGGCGTGGACTGCACTTTTGGACGTAAATTTTAAATTTTATTTTTTTGACATAATCTTTCAAGAGTTTTTTTGTTAATCTAAATTATATTAAATTTTAATCTTTGATCTATATTTTATTATGAAACTCTAAAATTTTAGGTCTTTTATTATACGTGGAGCCGGCCTTGATAGTTAGATTTCTGGTGATGGTGTATGTTGGGTCACCTCAGTGTCTAGATTGATTTGCCTGCATCCAAAGATGTTTCGTCTTGTATCTTCTATATATTGCTGATTCTTAGATTTGCTTTGAGCTTATTTGGTAATTCACAAAGAAATGTTCTTCTCCAGATTGATCGATGAAGATGTTCAAAGACAATGAACTTCTTAAAGTTATCAGAGAAACACCATCTGAGATCAGTGAAGTTGTTTCTAGGTGCCGTAAAGATTTCACAGAAGAATTTTTTGCACATCTTCACACTGTAGCAGAATCTTATTATGACAATCCAGAAGAACAAGAACAAAATGGTGAGACTATATGTTCTCCATTTTCTGTTGCCTTCGTTTTTTCATTAGTCTTTACTGGCTATCACTAGTGTTGTCACTACTTACAGGAATTATTTCAGATTGATGTCATATTAACCAAATTCATTTTGATTTTGTGCTACTGACTATTGCCATTGGTTGTGTACCAAAAAATGTATGCAACGTTGGATTACTTCAACGTAACATTTGTTTATTTAATACTATATATGTGCTTTCAAATCCTACCGATTAATATTCTCAATGACTATCATTCATCTTTTCAATAAATAACCTGCTAAATTATACATGAATATCTATACACTTGGTACCCATGATTAGTATATATAAAATCAATCTCCATTCGACCCAATTAAAAGGGCTTTTTGTATCTCTCTATGGATATAGAGCAATAACACTAATGTTATTGAGACATAATGAATTGTGACTAATGAATTATAATGAAATACATTTAATGATGGGACTCATTTAGGGTTTAGCTACCCTTGGACCAGGGTGGGCACGTGCCCCCTCTTAATTATTTTTTTTGACATTAGATATATATTTTTTGAAATAAAATTTAGATATATTTAATTGTGCTCGCCCTCAATTTTTTTTGCATTAGATATATATTTTTTAAAATAAAACTTAGACATATTTAATTGTGTCCACATTATTATTGTGTTATTGTGATATCAATTAAGATAGACGACTACGTAAATAATAATTAATTTTTAAATAATGTTATTGAAACTAATACATTATGATATTAAATCTAATAGTGAGTCATTACATTTAATAACGTTTACTATCCATCTAATGGTCACAAACTATTGGGTTCCTACGAATTGAATTTAGAATTTTTTTTTTTTGTCAAGATGTAAAATTAAATTTTGAATTAGATTCAATTACTATTATTCTTAAATTTTTAGACACAGACATGTCCGAATAATTATTAGACATATCTCGGTCATTTTTCTAAATTATAGGATTATTTTGTTATTATATAGAAATGAGCGTCATTATGTAATAAATTACAGGATAATAAATGAAAGACTGTTATTACTATTTTATATATAGGAAAAAAATTTATTGATATCATTGATTTGTAATTCTTTTAAATGATAAATAATAATCAGATTCAATTGCAAAATGATAATAATAAGTCTTATACAAAGTTTTAATTAATTTACTTTTATTTTTTGTTTGTTCATTACATGAAAATCATTTTTTAACCTTTTATGTTTAACGAATTTTTACACATAATTATAGTAAATATGAATTTATGAACTTAAGTGGTCAATTGAAAAAAAAATGAAAAGTACTCTTTAGATCTAATTTGATAACATAATTCAATGCACCCCCTTTGATTTAAAGTAAAATTCATTTAACATTCAAATTTACAACTAAAATAACAATTATATTGAATTAAATCTATAACATTGATAAAAAAAAAATTTAATTTATTTATGTGCCCACCCTAAATTATTTTTCTGGCTTTACCCCTGGACTCATTGCATCATTAAATGCATTCCACCATTACTCTATTGGTCACAATGCATTATATCTTCAAATTATGTCTCTAAATTATATCTCATTAAAGTTGCTCAAGCAATAAAGGATCTTTTCAGTTTTATTTTTATTTTACTATCACTGATGTGCTATATTTAGTAAATGAAAACGCTACAAAATTTAAGAATAGGTACAAAATATGTAGTGAATGCATCAGTTATCAATTGGAACCAAAACAGACCAATTCTCTCTTTTTCTCTTTCCCCACTTTGCTTCGAGCTTGAGTCTTCTATGTCTCTTGCAGATGATGCTTCACTCTTCAAATGTGCTGCTCCCAATTACTCCAAGCTCTTAGTCAATAGAGGTCTGTGTTCAACTCATACTATTTCTATTTCTCTCAAGGTTATTTTAAAGTTCATTGGCTCAAAAAAAAAAAGAAGCATTGTATGCTTTAAATGTTTTCTTTTTATTTGTAACATGCCTTGATAGGATACAAGTTTTAGAATTTTAGAAGTTGTATCAATGTAATATGTGAAAGACATGAGTAGCAAAATGAATTCTAAAACTAATGTTCGACATGCTTCAAATTATCTTTTATCATAAATTGGAGTTCAGCGTCAATATATATTTGGCTTTTGATACTTAGTTTTACATTTATTGTACTACACGTAATTGAAATTCAACTCACCAGCTGTGATTAGAGAGAATTCCTTTGTTTGTTGTGATGTCAATTCAGTGTATTTGAGGCTGTGACAGTTTATAAATTTATTGATGTTAGTTTTTTGTGATTTTAACACAAGTTTTGCACACGTGTTGGGAAAAAAAAAAGGTGCCGACTTAAAATAACTAAAAGTATTGGCGTTAATGACTTAAAATATATATAATATTCTCCGATATGCTTTCTTAAAAATCTATATAATAAAGTAGTTTACAATACAAATTTCAAAAGATAAATAAAATTACTTTTGTTATTCGCGGTTGAGATCGTTTTAAATTTTATTTTAAAGTTAATCTAACGACTAATATTAACACCTTAAATTTAATAGAAAAATAAGGGTCATAAGAGTGTGTTTAGAATGATTTTTTAAAAGTACTTCTAGAAATTACATTTCATAAATACTTCAAAAAAAATATAATATTTGAAACCACCCCACCATCACCACCGCCCCACCACCACCACTGTCGTTGCCACCGTCACTGTCATCGTCACCACCACCACCGTCGCCGCCACGGTCATTGTCACCCACTATAACTATTATCGTCACATACCACCACCACTGTCGCTCACTACCTTTCACCCTCACTACAAAAACGATGTTTAAATTTCTTTATCTATTATTTATATTTGTGATTTAATTTTAGATATAAATAAAAATATTTTTATTATTTTTTATTTTTTATTATTATGTGCATTCATACACATGTAATAACTAATTATGTTATATTTTGCCTCTTTCTCGCGGAAAAGTCAAAGCGACATGTTCCTACAATTAGTTGTAGTATTTGTTTGTGCGGAAGATGTAAATTAGACAATGGTGTTCAACTTATCAATTATTTACACGAGTCGCATGCTTTGTTCTTTTATATAAGCCTAATAATTCTAAAGTGCATAAATTACATTTAAGAACAAAAAATGGAAAAACTAATATAACAAAAAAATAATTACTATTGAAACGAACTTGGGCATCAACAAATTTGAGTACAAGGGTTGGTGATGTTTTGAGGCCAGACCTTAAATTTGAGTATACATACGAGTAATGGT